ACCATCCATACATTGTGTCAAGCACATTTGTACATTTGTTACCATCATTCTTTTCAAAACACATTCTTTCTACTTGAGCTCTTGGTATCAGCTCATTTCCCTCTTCCCCACACTCTGTCCCTTATGAACAACCCTTGATAATTTACAAATTATTATTTTTCATGTCTTACATCAACCAATGTCTCCCCTCACCCACTTTTCTGTTGTCCGTCTCCCTGGGAGGGAGTTATATGTAGATCATTGTGATTGGTTCCCCCATCCTCCCCCTTTTCCACACCTTCCCATTCCCCTGCTGGTATCACTACTCTCATTATTGGTCCTGAGGGGTTTATCTGTCCTGGACTTCCTGTGTTCTGAGCTCTTATCTGTACCAGTGTACATGCTCTGGTCTAGCCGAATTTGTAAGGTAGAACTAGGGTCATAATAGTGGGGTAGGGGAGGAAGCATTAAAGAACTAGAGGAGAGGTATATGTTTCATCAGTGCCATCCCGCGCCTTGCCTGGCTCGGCTCTAAGCAGGGGATCTTTAAGTCATCAAAATCCAACGGAGCGCTCTGGGGTGATTAAAATCAAACAAACAAAACAGAAAACAAACTCACTGAGATTGAGTCCATTCTAACTCATAGTGACCCAGGAGGACAGGATAGAACTGCCCCCTGTGGGTGTTGGAGGCTTTAAACCTTGACAGGACTATGGAAAGTCTCCTTCTTTCTTCCTCAGAGTGGCTAGTGAGTGCAGACTGCTGACCTTGTGGTTAGCAGCCCAGCTTGTCACCCACTATGCCACCCGGGGCTCCGCTGTGCCAGGGTGGTCGCCACTAACGACCATTGACTGTTATTGGAATGTGGCTAGTGAGGACCAGGAACTGAGTGCTCACATCAAAGTTGAGCTAATTCCAGTGTAAATAGCTAGTGGCCGCCACGTTGGGCAGGGCATGGGTTAACCATGCTTGAGGATGTTGGAAGATGCTTCTGCAATAGATACCATATGTCTACATAAGGAGTCCCGGCAGTGGAGTGGGTTAGGCATGGGGCTGATACCCACAGAGGTCAGCAGTTCAAACCCATCAGTGGCTCCAAGGGAGAAAGATGGGGCTGTCCACTCCAATCAAGGATGACAGTCTTGGAAACCCTAAGGAGCCATTCTCCTCTGTCCTGGAAGGTCAGCAAGCGTCAGAATCCACTCCGTGGCCATGGGTGGGTATATTCAGATAGGAAGGGGTTTCAAAAACTTAGTGGAAAGATGTAACCAAAAGATAATGGAATTTCTCCACACATTTTCTGAATTCCCCCCCTTGTATAGAGTGAAGGCGTATGTGGGGGTTGGGGTGGGACAGAGAAGCAGTGGTGGTTCAGCTGTAGAATCCTTGCCTTCCAAGCCGAAGACCTGGATCAGATTCTTGGCCAGGGCACCTTCTGCTCAGCCCCCATCCACCTATCTGTCAGTGGGGGACTGGGTGTTGCTAGGAGCCCTGATGGCACAGTGGGCTAGGTGTTGGGCTGCCAATGGCAAGGTCAGCCATTCTAATCCATCAGCAGCTCTGCAGGAGAAAGATGAGGGTGTGTGCTCCTGTAAAGAGTTAGAGTCTCGGAAATCCACAAGGGGCAGTTCTGCCCTGTCCTGTGGGGTCCAAAATGAGTCAGACGTGACTGGATGGTATGGGGGGAGTGATGAGCAGGTTTCAGCAGAGCTTCCAGACCAACACCTGTCCATCTACTTCCCAAAATCTGCTGATGAAACTCTGGGGACCAGGAAGGTCCGTTCCTACGGTGTGTGGGGTCGCCATGGTTGTGGAGTGGGGAAGGGGGGGGAACATGATGGCAACAAAAGGAGTGGGGAGAGGCATTAGTGAAGGATGGCCTGTCCTTCTGGCTTAAAGTGAGATACCTATGCCAGGCACTGTGTTACCTATCCCATACAAGGCACCCAGGCAACATGGGGATGGTCTGGTGCCTCACTAAAGGCATCCTGAGTGGCACGCATGGCTAATTAAGTGCCCCAAAGCCTAACTTCCCCCCAAAGCAGCCATTGAAATCTCTAGACCTCCACAGGCCGGAGATCAGAACTAGATGGTGCCCCGCTACCACATAGATCACCTGCTCTGAAAGCATCACACTAGAAGGTCCTGGGTAGAGCTGGGGGAAAATGTGAAACAGGGGTCACAGGGAAGGGATGAGTCAACCAGGGTGCAGTAAAGCATGGATGAAACACACAATATTCCTCTGGTTCCTGGAGGCTTCCTCAACACCCACTATCATGATCCCAGTCCAGCCTTTCCCTGTGGGCTAGACCCGGAGCATGTGCACAGGTACAGATAAGAGATAAGAGCTCACGCCACACGGAATCCAGGAACAGGAATGGGAACAGCGATACCAGAAGGGTTGGGGGGAGAGGAGGGGAGGCAGGTGGAACCAACGGCAATGATGGACACCTAACCACACACACCCCCTCCAGGGGGATGGACAACAGAAACCAGGGGGAAAGAGAGACAGCAGTTGGTATGAAATATGAACATTATAATTTATGATAAATTATAAAAAATAATTTATATCAAGGGGTCGTGAGGGTAGGTGGGGAGGGACAAAGAAGACGAGCTGATGCCAAGGGCTCAATAGAAAGTAAATGTCTAGAAAAGAATGATGGCAACATATGTACAAAATTGATGTATGGATTGTTATAAGAGTTGTAAAAGCCCCCAATAAAATGATCTTTTAATAAAAATAAAAACCTCAAAATCATAGATAGATAGATATAGATATATACTGGTCAGATGGAGACCGGTGGAACCCTGGAGACTCTCTGGTCCATAGTCACCTTCTAAGCCTGGAACTGAACTGGCCCCTTGGCTCAATTTTCAGCCAAGTGATAGAGAGCCTATAGGGGAAATGATAACATTAGGAAGGCATGCACTTCTTAGAAGCCTCAGGCATTCACCATCAGAAGGGCTGCATTTGCCCGAGGACAACGTTGAGCAGGCAGAGAGCAGTAGGAGAGGAGGCGGAATGGAAACCAGAAGCCCAGGAGGATGGGGGACGTTTCCTTACACGGTGGGGATTGCGATGCAGACAGAACAACATGCATGTGAACTGTTGAATGGAAATCCCATCTGCTCTGTAACCCTTCCCCCAATTCACAAGAGAAAGTTAAAAAGGAAAAGAGGAAAGGGGGGGTGTAGGAGAGAGGGCCTCCTGGAGTCTCCACACCTCCCTCCCGGGAACTGGTTTGATCTTTGTTTTCCTAGATGAGGAAGCTGAGGTACAAGAGGCCTTGGGCTCACGGTCACAGGCAGGAAGTGGGTCACAGGCAGGAAGTGGCTGGGGGTGAGGGGGACTTGATCCAGGGTGCGGCCTGCTGAATAGCTGGGTGGTTGGAGACACACAGAGGGATGAATGAGTGAGTGAGTGAGTGGTGAGTGGGGGCGGACACGCACCGAGCTCTGAGGGGGAGGCCTGTCAGGGCTGCTGTGAGCCCTGACAGAGTAAGTGACAGAGATTCTCAAAGATGCCATGTGTCATGCAGGAACTGGGGCTCCGGGGATGGGGTGGGGGGTAGGCAGGGTATCATTGGTTTGCTGGGAGCTGGGGGTGGGGCACAGGCTCAGAGTCTCATGATCCCTTCTTCCATCCATCCCCCCACCTCGCACCTCTTCCCCTCCCCCACCCTGCCTCCTCCTGTTGCCAGTGATTACATCATCAAGGAGAAGACAGTCTTGCTGCAGAAGAAGGACAGTGAGGGGTTTGGGTTCGTGCTCCGGGGGGCCAAGGGTGAGTGCCGGCCAGGGAGGGAACGGGAGAGCAGGGAAGGGGGAGAGGGCCCAAGTGGGCGTGGATCAGGGACATTGGGTAGGATGCCCCCACGGGGGTGCGTGCTGGTCCCTCAGCTGTGGTGAGGCCTCTGTGACTTGGGTCTGAACCCCATCCCCTGCTCGGCCTCTCCACCCCCTCCCCTCCGACCCCGCCGGCTCCTCCCCATCTGCAGCGCAGACCCCTATCGAGGAGTTCACCCCCACCCCGGCCTTCCCGGCGCTTCAGTACCTGGAGTCTGTGGACGAAGGGGGCGTGGCCTGGAGAGCTGGACTTCGCATGGGCGACTTCCTCATCGAGGTGAGGCCCACGGGACAGAAAGACTGGAGGCCCCCTACCACTCAAGCTCCTCGGAAGAAAGGCCCTGGCTGCCTACTTCCCAGGAGGCCTGAGGGAAACAGCAGCCCCCACCCCATTACGTCTCACAGTCTAGGGAACCCTAATCCGCAGTGGCCCAGCGGTGAAAGTCCTTTGCTGGTCACCAAGAAGCTAGGGGTTTGAACGTGCCCCATGTCTCCCTAGGAGAAAGGCCCTGGCGATCTGCTCCCACGATGATATAAAACAAAACAAAACAAAAACCTCACCGCCATCAAGTTCATTCTGAGTCACAGAGCAACCGTATGGGACAGGGAAGAAGTGGTTCTCAACATTGTAACTCTTCACTGGGAGTAGAAAGCTTGATCTTTCCAGAAAGCTTCATCTTTCTCCATTGGATCTGATGGTGGTTTTGAACTGTGGACCTTGAGATTCATCTGCAAAACCCTGTGGGATAGTCCTGCTCTGTCACACAGGGTTCGCTATGTGTTAGAATTATCTTACCAGCACGCAGCAGTCTCCAGGGGGAGTCCTCCACGCCCCAGCCTCCAGCTCAACTTCCACAAACCTGGAATCTCTGTCACTGTGTCTCTCTCCCAAGACCCAGAAGACCACTTCTCCATGTTCTAAACAAGATCAGGCTGCCTGGCACCCAGACGTTCTCTGCTTCCCAGCACCCTGCCCCTGTCCCCTGGCCTGAGTCCCTCGGGCAGCCTCTTAATCTTAAAGGATTCCATTGAAAGGCCTTTTGGGGTCATCTCAGGGAGAGCTTGGTGGCTTATCACCCTATTTCCCAAAGTGAGCACTGGGGGATGCTGGAGCAATTAAAAATAAAAACTGCAAAAGGCCACACTCAACTGTCAGAGTGGATTCCCCCTCCCAGTGGGTCTATAGGACAGGGTAGAACTGCCCCCTGCGGGTTTCTGAGACTGTCACCCTATACAGGAGTAGAAAGCCTCCTCTTTCTTCTGCAGAATGATCTGGAGGGGTGCGGGGAAGTGGGGTGGCTGCAAAGGCCGATCCCTACACCTGATCCTGGATCATGGGCTGTGGTACAAAAGTGTTTGTGTGCTGAGTCATTTTACTTTATTTTTTGAAAAGGAGGTGGTAGGGCAAATAGGTTTGGGAACCCATGAGAAAACGGGCTACAGGTTGGGTTGCTAACCACGGGTCAGCAGTTCAAAACCACCAGTCGCTTTACAGGAGACTACTGGGTGATGCAGGAGGGAGAGAGTTTAGGCTGGAGTAGGGCAAGGTGCTTCCCCAGCAGGGTTTCAGGAAGGTGAGGCTGTTTGGGAGTGGGAGAGGGGACTGTGCTTGGAGGTGGGGAGGGCTGGAGGGAGCAGAGCGCAGTCGCCACGATTTCTATGTAAAAGTTCAGGGTGGAGGGGCACCTCCTTGGGGACTTTTTGGACAGAAACACCCCTCCTTCTCACCTACCTGGTATAGTCTGGGGCCATCTGTGAGGAGCCCTGGAGATGTAGCAGTTAGGTGTTGGGTTGCTAACTTCAAGGTCAGCAGTTTGAAACCACCAGCTCCTCTGTAGGAGAAAGATGAGGCTTTCTACTCCCCGAATGAGTTACAGTCTCAGAAAACCACAGGGGCAGTTGGACCCTGTCCTATCTGGTCACGGGGAGTCAGAATGAACTTGATAGCCCTGAGTGCTATCAAGGAGTGTCAGGGTGGTACACCCAGTTAAGCACTGGGCTGCTGAGGGGAAAGTTGGCCATTCAAATCCACTCTCGGATGCCTCCGAAGACAGGCCTGCAGATGGCAGCCCCCTCTGCATTGACAACATGTGGAGGGCGGGGGTTGCGGGAGGTGGGGTTGGGGGTGGGGGGGGTGTCTCCTCGAGTCCCAATCGACCCCAGCCAGCAACCAGCTGCCCTCTGGTCCCTGCAGGTGAACGGGCAGAACGTGGTCAAGGTCGGCCACCGCCAGGTGGTGAACATGATTCGTCAGGGGGGCAACACTCTGATGGTCAAGGTGGTGATGGTCACCCGGCACCCAGACATGGATGAAGCCGTCCACAAGAAAGGTGCCCCTCTGCCACCCACTGGCCTGGGCAGGCCCGGGAGTGGGGTGGGACAGACCCTCCAAGAGCCCCAGGGACCCATCCCTACCTCCTGCACACTGCTCATGCACCACCACCAGCACCCACCACCCACCACCCTACCCCACCTTGCCCACCAAGGCTGCTTATTCCCAATCCTGCTGGTTAGAAGCCAATTGGCAGGGAGAACTTAGCCTACAGCTCCTGCCAATAGCTGCTGTTCCCTGAGCTCTAGGGCCCCCAAGGGGGAAGGGAGGGGTAGTCATGGGGGGGGGGGGCGGTGGCTGCACACCTGAGTACTGACGACCGCTCCCACACACACACACACACAACTTTTTCAGCTCCCCAGCAGGCAAAGCGGCTCCCACCCCCGGCCATCTCGTTGCGTTCTAAGTCCATGACCTCTGAGCTGGAGGAGATGGGTGAGTGACTGCTGGCCTGGGCCCAGGTTCTGGGGAGAGGGCCAGGGGGGTGGGTGGGGGGCAGGTCACCGGGCCTCCCCTTCTCACCTTGCCTTCCCCCACTCCAGTTTGTTAATGTTGTTAGTCATCAGAGGGTCTTCATCATGTCCCCCAAGCTGTGGGTCAGACCCTCTGGTCTGTGCATGTGTGTGTGTGTGTCACTGCGGGAGGAAGGTTTGAGAATGAAGCTTGCTCTGTCCACTCCACTCGTGTCTCTGTCCGCTAGGGGGCTTTCCCTCCGAGTCTGTGTATGTCCCTCTCTGGGGGCAGCTCTGGCCCCTTCCTTCCAGCCCATCTCCATCTGTTCCCACCTGGCCCCCCACCCCCATGCTCTGTCTCTTCCTCCTCCTCTAGGCTCACCCCCACCTCACACTCCCCACCCTCCAACCAGCAAAAAGCAAAGGAAGCCCGTCCTTCGGACAGAGAACCGACTGGACCTTACAGGGGCGGGGGAGCGGAATTCCCCCTACTCCCCCCTGACAGGGAGGAGAGTCGGACAGCTGACTGCCCCCACCCCAGGCCAAGCGGGAGGCGGGATTTCCAGAGAGGGGGCCCCTCGCTGCCCCCTGACTTCCTAACTCTTGGCTCCTCTACTACCTCTCCCCCACCTTCCCGTCCCCCCAACCTGAGCTAGTCTCCCCCTGGAAGAAGAAGAGTGGTGAGTGGGCACAGGACTGGCGGGAGGGCCCCCCCACCCGTCTGGACCCCACCCCATCCGCACCCCTGGGCCCCTCGCGCGTGTACACGCCCGTGGTGGGGGGCCACGCTCGCTGGCCACGCCCACTGGCCGAGCCCGCACCGCCCTGCGGCCCACGGGCGCCGCTCCGGGCCTTCATCCGCACCCTTTGCCCACAGAGTATGAGCACCAGCCCGCGCCGATGCCCAGCATGGAGAAAAAACGCACCGTGTATCAGATGGCGCTCAGTACGTCCCCTGGCCCTGCTGCTCGGGCTGCGGGGGTGGGGTGTTACGGGACCCCCCTGACCCAGTCCATGCCCACGCATTTTGTCTGCTGCCCGCCCCCGCCCCTGCCCCACACCTGCTCACACGCTAAGGGTCCTCCTTTTGCCCTGCCTGGGTCCCCCCTCCCACTGACACATAATTATGTGATTATCCACCCACAGAATTAAGGGGTCCCTTTGTCTAGCTCATTCCTCTGTCTCCCCCACCCCCACCCCCCTCACCCACCCCACCACAGACAAACTGGATGAAATATTGGCAGCGGCTCAACAGACCATCAGTGCCAGCGAGAGCCCTGGGCCTGGTGGCCTGGCGTCCCTGGGCAAACACCGGCCCAAGGGCTTCTTTGCCACTGAGGTAGGCAGCCTGGCATGGGGGAGGGAGCAAGCTTTGGGGCTGGGGGTGGGGGGGTGTCTGTGCCCTTTTCTCATTCCTAAACCCTTCATGGGGCGTTGCTGTGGCTGGGTGCTCTGGGGTCTGTTCCAGCTCATTGTGACCCCACGAAACAGGAGAGAGCCGCCCCACGTGGTTTCAGAGCAGCTATCTTATGGGGGTCCGGTGGCCAGGCCTTTCTCCTGCAGGCTCAGGGGTGCATTCAAACCACTCACACCTCACTTAGCAGCCTAGTACTTCTCTCGCTCTCCCCATCTTGCTCCGTCTCCCCTTCTGGCCTTGACTTGCCACTCCTGCTTCTCTCTGTCTCCCCTGTCTCTCCCCCATCTGTCTTGTCTCTGCATCTATCGCTATCTCTGTCTCTCTGTCTTTATCTCTGTCTTCTCTCTGCCTCTCCCATCCCTGTCTCTGTCTCCTTCTCGGTCTTTGACAGCTGCTCTGCCTGTATCTCTAACATCTCAGTCTTCTCTCCACAACACCCTCCCTACCCCCAACACACACACACAGCCCACTTCTCTGAGAGCAAGTTCCTTGCCTCTGAACCCCAATGCCCTACTGGGGTCTCACTATGGAGGAGCCTGCCTGGCAGCGGGTGACGTCACCGGCCTTTGGCGCACGCTCATTGGATGTTTCCTCTGGGCGGGATCGCTGGGTCCCCTTTTGTTCCTCGTGAGCAGTCACAGACACCTACACCTCTGCGGTCAGTCCGCTCCCTTTCATGTCCTGCTGGTCCTTTGGGGCCCCCTGCTCCAGGACTTGGGAGCTTCTTGTGACATTTGGCCAATCCAACTCCTCTGTTGTTCTGACTCCTCTCCTGTCACTGGGACCCCTCCTCCCTGTCGCCCGGACCTCTCCCTTGTCACCGCGATGCAACCCCCCCCATCATTCCTATCTCTCTCCTGTCACTGAGACCCCTGTCTGTCACCAAGGGCCCTTCTCAACCCTTCCAAATCTGAAACACACACGTCTATCCCTTCGTTGATCTTTCCTTTTCCGCTTTCCCCTCACCTCCTCCTCACCCTGGTCCCAAAGGGGTCCCCCTCCTGCCCTCAGCCATCTCCCATCCTCTGATCGATCGACCCATCCCCCTCCCCCCCCCTCTCTGATTGGCCGGCGGCTTCTCTGAGCGTGCCTCACGTCCCTGCTCCCGCGCTTCACTGGTCAGAGGTCCTATGGGTCGGACAGAGTAGAACTGCCCCGTGGGGCTCTCTTGGCCTTTGGCCTTACAGAAGCAGGTTTCCAGCTCTATCTTCTGCATACTTGCTGTGTGGGTTCAAACCACCAACCTTACATTAGCAACGGGGCCACCAGGGCTCCCAAGAATGGGGTAGCCAAGGCCAACTATGGTGTCTATGCTGGGCACACCCTGGGTGAGGGACCCCCACCTCCCTCTCTGTCCCTCCACTCACTGCCTCTCTCTATTAGGGGAGGAGGGGGGAGCCGCTTCCTGATACAACACAGGAAGTTTTAGAGTGCTCAGTAAACCAGGTAAGCATGGGCCTACTTGTGCTTACTTGCAAATCTGTAGGGAACCATTTCACACTTCCCCCCTCACTGCCTCAGAGATTCTGCTAGATTCTGCTAGACTGGCATCTCTCCCCGCACCTCCCCCACCCACCCAAACCCACAGCCCCTGCCTACAGAATCACAGCCTCTGTTCAGATTCACAGTCCCTGACAGGGGGCCAAACCAAACCCACTGCCATCAAGTCGTTGCCGACCCTATAGGACAAGGCAGAACTTGGCCCTGTGGGTTTCCTGGGCTGTAACTCTTCACGGGAGCAGAAAGCCCTGTCTTTCTTCCTGAGAGCAGCTGATGGCTTGAACTGCTGACCTTGTGGTAAGCAGCCCAACACGCTCTCCACAGTGCCACCAGGGCTCCTCCTGGCAGAGACCGAGGACCCAATAAGCCAGGTAGGCACAGGCTTCCTTGAGCTTTCTAATTCATCTGCAGTGAGCAGCGGCCTATGTTGTGATGTGGTGGGAAAATGCACAAAACTGGTCGCTACAAATGGGTCAAGAAGCTTGCTTACTCTTCTGTCACATGATCTGATACAGTTTTTTTTTAAAGTAGATTATTAATGACGCACTAACATGGTAATGGAAGGAAGCCCGTGCTTACCTTGCTTACTCGATATCCTGTTACTGAAACCGAAACATTACCAGCTTCAGGTACAGGGGCACAGGAATGCAAGCAAGGGGTCCGGTCGAGGCTTAAGAAGAAGGCCAATTGAACAATCAATCGACAGAAGGAAAACTGGGCCTTCACAGGAGGGTCACAAGGAAGGAAGGAGTCAGCCAGGAACAGTCAGTCCACGTGGCATGGGCGAAACACACGACTTTCCTCTAGTTCTTCCATGCTTTCTCCCCCCACGATCATGACCCAGTTAAAAAAAAAAGAAAGTCAGAAACTGAGTGGACTTGGAGTCTTCAGTGAACTTGACAAACAAGTTCATTAGTCAATCAATCAACGGCATCGACATAAATAAATAAATAAATAGAACTCGGTTAAAATGGGGGCTTTGGGTGAAGGACTATTTCTTGGGAATGTTGGGGGGCTTTGTCCATAGAGTCTTCCCCCAGCCTGTCTTCCCCCACCTTCATTCCATTGATGCTTCTTTTTTTAAAGATAAGATTTTCCCCCACCAACAGTTTTATTGGCATATAATTATATCACTCATGTAGCACCCGATTCAATAGTTCAATCACATCAGGAAGAGTTGTACCACCAGCGCCACCGTCTGTCGCAGAACTTTCCCTTCGTTCCCTTTTCTCATCGATAGTAGCTCCCCATTTCCCCCCCAACCTCCCCTGCCAGACCCCCAAGGAGCCATTAATCCAACATTTTTACTGTGTTCCAGGAGGGACTTTTTAATTTAATTTAATTTTTATGAAAAGATCCTTTTATTGGGGGCTCTTACAACTCTTATAGCCATCCATACATCCATTGTATCAGGCATATTTGTACAGATCTTGCCATTACTCTTTTCTAGACATTGACTTTCTATGGAGCCCTTGGGATCAGCTCCTCTTTTTTCCAAGAGGGACTTTACGTAGCCCATGAAGCCCTCGTCCGGCAGTTTCTCCACAGGTGGCTCAGTGACGTCCACTGTGCCAACGGCCAGACTTCCATTCTGGCACCCTCGTTCCCCTGGCCCCATGCTCTTTGCCTCAAATTCTGTTGGCTGTTTGGTTTCAGACAGGTGGTTCAGGAGCACAGTAAGCTTGGGAGGGTACTCTTATTAATCTTGTGAGCGGACCTTTTTAAATGGGCTAAAAAGTATCCCTGTGGGGATGGCTTCAGTTTGAGGTCTGAATTGTGTCTGAGGGCAGTTTGGAGAGTCCTCGAGTCTCAACGGACCCCATAAAAAATTCCCCGACACTTTCTGAATTGAAGTTCTATTCTGGATATTTTTCTCCCGTTCTATCCAGATCCACCCATTAGGGTCTTGATTAGAATCCTCGGTAGTGGCAGCCAGGCACCATCTACTTCTATCTGGTCTCAGGGTGGTGTGAATATTTATCGAGCCCTGATCACCTAGTGGTAACAAGTTGGCCTGCTAACTGCAAGGTCGGCAGTTCGCAACCACTGGCTGCTCCAAGGAAGAAAGATGAGGCTTTGGACTCCCATAAAGAGTTACAGTCTCAAAAAAAAAAAAAAAGTTAGTCTCGGACAACAGAAAAGTGGGTGAAGGGAGACAGCAGTCAGTGTAAGACACGAAACAAAATTTTTTTATAAATTATCAAGGGTTCATGAGGGAGGGGAGGGGGGAATGAGCTGATACCCAGGGCTCAGGTAAAAAGAAAATGTTTTGGAAAAGAGTGACAGTCTCAGACACCCACGGGGGCCATTCCAGCAGGTCCTGTAGGTCCCTGTGAGTCAGAAATGGATTCCATGGCCGTGAGTTATGGTATGATGTGTTGGATCTATTGCTGGCCTCTGGAGGCAGGTGGACGTAGAGAGAACCAGCCCAACAAGGCCACTTCCCTTAGAGGAGGTGCATTTCGGTGAGTACATGGAGCAGAATTTGATTGGCTGTAACAAACCCAAACCAAACTCACTGCCATCGAATAGATGCCCGCTCATAGTGGCCCTCTAGGACAGGGTAGAACTGCTCCGTGTGCTTCCGAGACTCTAACTGTTCATGGGAGTCGAAAGTCCCGTCTTTCTTGTGGTTTCAAACTGTTGACCTTTGGGATCACAGCCCCACCACTGCATCACCATGGCTCCTCAGCAGCCCTTTAGGCAGAGCAGAACTGCTCCATAGGGCTTCCGAGACTATCAGTCTTCACAGAGGCAGACAGCCTCATCTTCCCCCACAGAGCTACCGGTGAGTTCAAGCCACTGACCTTGAAGTTCACAGCTCAATGCTTAAACCGTTTACTACGGTGCCCCTGGTATATCACAGGAACTCCTAATGAACCGGACTGCCATCGAGTCCCTTCTCACGCATCTCTGCCCTGGAGGACTGCCTCTGTGGGTTTCTGAGATTGTCACACTCGACCGGAGTAGAAAGCCTCCTCTTTCCCCTGAGAAGCATAGCCCACGACATCACCCAAGATCATTGCTTGTCTCTCTCTTGGGAGAAGTCTACCCTTAGGCCTTTCCATGGACGTTATAAAGATCCGGGATCCTTCTCTCCTGCTCCACTGTTCTAGCTATCCTTCCCGTCACAAGGTCACCTCATAGGCCCAGCTGGCTGCTGGAGCGCCAGCCAGTGATTGCACCAGCATGCCAGGTAGCCTGGGCGAAGATGAGTGTGGATAGGCACGAGCAGGCATCTTGCTGCTACTGGTTGGAGGTGCTGTCACGTGCCAAGGGAGTTGGTTCTGACTCATAAACCTCCCCTCTCACGATGAAGAAGAGTTCAAACGATCAAGTTGGCCTTTTAAGTCCGTTGCCTTCGGTGGCCCACTTTGCAGAAGGTTCTGGATTCTCTCTGGGAAGGGGCATGGCGTTTCTTAGGCAGAGGATGAGGAAGAGGTGGCTGCGGGGGCCCTGCCTCCTCCTCTTCCAACACGTCCCAGCAGCTCCTGGCGGCGGCGCCAGGGTTGTGTGTGGTGCAGGCACACACCTGGTTTGCTCAAGCTTAGCGGACGCCTTTTGCAGGTGCGCAGTGCAAGTCTAACGGGCTGCCGTTTGTCCCACGGCTTTGCTCACTTCCGGCTTCTGTCTGTGCGCTTGGCCGTTCTCCGCAGAGGTCACACGTTTCCTGCCTAGTGTCTGGCCAGCTTTGAGACATTCATGGAAAACCAAGCCCAATGTATTGAATGGATTCCATTCATAGCCACCCAGTAGGATAGAGCTAATTGATTTCCGATATGGGTTTTTTTTTTTTTTATGGGAACCGACAGCCTCCTTTTTCTCCCATGGGTTGGTTGGTGGGTTCAAACCGCTGACCTTGTGATGAGCAGCTCAAGGGTAGCTTGATACGCTGATATGCGCAGGGAAACTAGAATATCGTGATGAAGTGAGGCACACACCTTTTAAGGGCTTGCTCTGGGGAAGACCCCCGCCCCCAAGAGTGTGTGACTCCCTTAACCGCACCATTCGCTTGATTGCTGTGGTCTGAGCTGGCCGCAGGATCGCGCCGAGGTCCCTTGGTACCTAGGACTAGAGTTAAGGCGTAGCCCCATACGTGAGTTTGTTATCACCTCAGTATGTTGTCAATCGCCCTAGAACCCCATGGCGCACTCCCTTACGCTCCTACCCCTTCCTGCAGGACCGTGGGGCCCCAGCTTGGCAAAGGAATAGGGGGAGGGGCTGTTCCCCAGCCTGTTCTGGGGTTCTTTCCGCCCCGCCTGACCCTTTTCTCTGCTGTCTCTGCTCTCTCTCCT